TTTTATACTCTCACAATTATCAAAATTCAAAGCCGCACATTTCCTTAGTCCGAAATATTTATATTAAAATCAATGTAACACCAAGCTCTACATTTATCATATTATTGCTGAAGAAAGGTACTGATGTATATAATTCTTGTGCTGAATGGCATAATGCTAGTTGATAGGGTATCTACTCACGTTTTACATTTGAACTAAGAACAGAGTTTGGGACAATTTGACTTTAGCAGTTTTTGAGTATATACTTTAAGCCTACTTAATAAATTTTCGATTAACGGCATTTTGTGGACGTGGCATTACTCCGAATGTGCCCATATGCAATACCAACCTTCCTGGATGCCAAGGAAACGTGTACCATGTTTAATCAAGAAATCTAGTTTTACACAAGTTATCTCTTGCACGGGAGATGGACAGACAATCATCCGGATTTCATCTCGTCTTATCATTCTATCATTTATATACATATATATGTATATATATAACTCTATATATATCTTAATTGGTGTCATGGTTGATTAGTTTCGATAATACAAACAACCGTTATGTGAACAAAACTATTATACTCTCTGTACCATTACTGTATTTGATTATACATATATTTATTACATAGAACAATGCTATAGGCATACTTTATATATCTATTTTTAAATTAATTATAAATTTACATTAAATTATCCTTTTTAATATGTATAATTAGTTAATTAGTTATCATCTGAAATATTTGATTCAACCCTTACCTTAGTATGATACACGAATGCCGCGTAACTTTTATTATTTTCAACACCAAAGGCTCGTGAATACATTCCGAAATTATTTAGTAAAAATTCAATATTAAAGAATATATTACGTATGTTTGTATTATGAGCTAATCGATTTAAAAATATATTTTTCATTTTAGTGGTATATTTTAACACATGTTGGGTATAAGTCATTTGTTTTAATACATTTTTGTTAACACAAGAGATGAGGGCACATTTAATTAAATTTGTATAAATATTTCAAATAATTTGGGCTACGTTATACAATATTATTAAGTAGTTTGATGTATTGTTTTCCATAACGCACATTACGTTTATTTTTGATATATATTAAGCTTCATAACCTAGTATATCAGAAATATGAAACCGATTCCTTTTAGACACTTGAAAATCACTATAACATATATGTACATATGCGTTTTGTTATTTTTACACATAAATATTAGGCCTAACATTACGTATATAATTTAGCATATGTAGTTCATACTTGCTTTTCTTTCGATATGGATCATTATTTTTACATTAAACGTTAATTTTGCTACTTAATAATTTTCCTTTAATTTTATGTGAAATTACTTTTCTAACTTAATTTGTTTTATTTATTTTATTCTTTTGTACCATACTTTTTGTGTACGTTAATGTCTTTGTTGTTAAGTTAATGTTTCTTTGCAATATTTTTAGCTATAAAAATTAAAAACATAATATAAACATTTTCTTTTGATTGTTTGATTATTTATTATTAGTGTAATTTTTAAACAATTTTCAAAATTAAACATGTAAATATATAACAATACTGCTCCATTTTACTTGCACTTTTTAGCATTTACAAATTCAAATTAGAAACTCATTAGCGAGCTCATTAGAATTTTATTGGAAAACTACATTTTCTCAATTTCAGAATTATGTTCCGCTTTGACGACTATTTATTTTTGCTAGATATTAAACATTTTCATGATATATAGTAACGGTACTAGCTTTGTATATATGCATATGTATTGAACAATTGTTCACTTTTGACTTAAAAGTGTAAATTTAGAAAATGAAAAGCTCTGCGATGTGTTAAAGAGTTTATTTTAAGAAACGTTGAAAGTTGTCGCAAAATACCTACTAGCTACGTCATAAACTACATATAATACATATGTACGTATGTATAAATGTACACACATATATAGTTTTTATTAGAAGGCTTGTTTAAAAAAAAAATATTTATGCACATATGTATATGTTAATGGTATATATGCATAACACATATCT